GTGTAGCAATGCTTCCTTCATGGCTTCAGTGCGCAGGCGGACTGCGACGGCTGCTCTTGCGCTGTGAGTGCAGAAAAAAACAAGCCGTCGTGTGAGCGCAACAAATGCTAGCCATGGTTGATTCATTGCCGATTCCGCTTGGCACTGTATTTCTTATGGTTCTGACTCTGTGAGTCTGTGGCCGAAATCAGATTCAAGCCTCCCCCCAACACGACCGGACGGGGCTCCAGCTGATTGAGTGATATTCGGGCGTCGCGGTCTGCGACAATGTGTAGCCAGACTAGACCCTGATTGTAGCACCTGTCTTTTTGGATTGTCTGAAAAAAGACGATAAACCAACGACCTGGAATCCTTGTTGACCTTGGATGGCTTCGACTTGTCTTCGAACGTCTTCATCCTAACCTTCAATGTCTTTGTTTTTGACCTCGCGTGTCGTGTCTGTTGTCTTGTAGTTTTCTCGGGGCCCCTGTGTGCACTGTATTGTTGTTGGGGTCACACGCCCCGACCGTTTGACAACTCAGCGTATTGGCGAAGAGTGACCAGGTGAACACACAACACATGAATGATGGACGCCAAACCTGCTGGAGATTGGGAAACCAAAGCATGCACATGCAAAACACGGGAAGAATATGATTTTCGTGAAAAAAATCAGACAGAAGCGGCATGTTGAATCGGCGTGTTTGTGCAAAGGAGCAAAGGGAGGTCCTGAGGAACTAGGCGAGGTGCTGATTGACCACGGTGCTATGGATCAGGCTTCACACACGATGCTACATTCGTTCACTGTGGAACATGTGAAACCATGTAGTGATGTTGGCATTCTTCCGACGGATCTACTATTTAGCAGTGCGGCAACAACGACTCCAGCCGCAAGGTCGGAACAAAGAGTGAAGAGGCAAGAGGAAAGAGCAAACACTATGAGAGGAAGAACCCTCAGGTTGAAAAAGAGACCCCAAGCCTCGCTTTAAGTGCCTAGCACCGCAAAGCCAGCGTCCGGCACAAGACAAAGCAGATGGGCCAGCCAGGGTGCATGACAGCCAGCCAATAATCCGCTGCTTGATTGTCCTCGAATCGACACCAACTGGGAGCAGCTTCAAGACTTGAAGGGCTGCAGGCTGCAGGCTGCAGCTGGGTCGCATCGATGGGCACATGACATCCGAGTTTGCTGTGAGAGCCTGGAAGCAAATCCTACGCCCAAAGACTTGGCACAGGCATCTCAACTTCGTAGTCAAGGCCTCCTCGGCCTCGTTCATGCTTATGCCTCCTGCAAAGAGAGCGCTGCTGAGTCCCAGGGCGCACGGGCCTCCCCCGGGCCTAAGGAGCGTATCGACGGCAAGCTCACGCCGCTCGGCTGCGACTCGATGTCCCGGTTGGAGTCTCGCCCTGGGGAGCCCAAGGCAGCGCAAAGGCAAGCGCGGGCGGAGGCCCAAGGGCCTCCGGCAAAGGTCGGAAGCCAGCTACGCGTTGAAGAGGAGGCAGCCGCGGCCTCAGATGCAGGGGGACCAAGCAGAAGTATGCCGCAAAATGCCCAAAACGCTGCAATCGCAACAAGTCGTGTCTGCTCATGGCTCATGGCTACACAGCTTTACGCCACTCGTTAACAAGACGGAAGGCATTGGTCTGGGAAGCATCTGCCAGATCCTGAAGCATCGCATACATATCGCGCAGGAGGAGCAAAGTGTCCAAGGAAAGAGCGGAGACCGAAAACCGCAACTCAAGTCCTGGCTCTGGCGAAAGGGCCACCACCGACTCATTGGAAGCCAAGGTGATCCAAAATCGAAACTCTAGGATCTGAACGCATTCAGACTGCTCGAGCTTCATGGTTCTGTAATATTCTTTACGTAGGGCAGGTGATGCCACCTCAGGAATTCCTTTGTTGACTCTCGATCGTACACTCTCGATAATGTGGTCATCTTGAGCCGCATGGCTGGCAGTGCCGTCATGCCCCCAGTTGATCAAGCGCAGCTAGATCAGCAGGTGTGAGGCAGCAGAAGTCAGCATGGCAGCTGCGAGAGGATGATTGCCTGCTTCATGAGCAAGGACCAACTTGTCTCTCGCACTGCCTTACGCAAGCCAACATGCTTCTTTCAGGGAGCTCTCTCTGCTGGAGCTGTGAGGAGTCGGCGAAAGTTTGCGAACACTCCTTGCAAGTGGGACCATGGCCTCAAGGATCATCGGACTCAGTGTGTGCAAGCGCTGAAACATGCTGAAACACTGAGTCCCGAACAGATGTCGGCGCAGGTTGCCAGGATCCTTCCTGCGAGGCAGGCTGTGAAGCCTGCTTTCTTCGGGGGGCTGGAAGACAAGGCTTCCTGGATTTTGCCAAGCAGTGTGTGGTGTAGAATATGGGGTTCTCAGCTTCAGAATAAGAAAATTGGTGGCTGGTGAGGCCGCAGTGCGCAGGGAAGAACCGTTCCCACGTGTCTCCCGCTGTGGTGTGGTGCATATTTGGCGCTCAATGGCACTCACATCCTACGCCTCTTTTGGCCTCGAAATCGCTTCGAGGAAGCATTTCGGCCGAATCTAGTACAGTGTCCTGGTGAGCTGCTGGTCTGTGGTCTCCTGCTGGGTCTCCTGAGTTTTGGTTGAGCGCGTCCTGGTCATTCCTGGTCTCAGTGGTCGTTGTGGTGATCCTGGTGGTTGGTGGTTCTGCTGCGGGTGGTTGTCTTGGTCGTCATGGCTGTCCTACCGCTCTACCACTTTTCGGTGATGCACGCCGGCACAATTGATTCTGACTTCTACTTAGCCTTCCTGAGCTGCAGGGCTCTTTCTCGGCCAGAGCTGATTGAAGCCATACTCTGCTGGCTGCCACCCCAACAGAACTGGAGAAGTGCTTCACAATCCCAGGAGCACCTCGCCTTGAAGCTCTTTCCGTCGCCTCGGCGAAGGGCACTGTCCATCAGGACGAGAAAAGCCAGCAGAACTACATAAACCAGGCACCCGCACGTGGCATCTGCAGCAACGCAGCTGGATGCGTTCATTTCTGTCTGCAGCGTGCTGTTGGCGGAAGTACGCGCAGACCTTCATTCAAGCTGCTGCATGCTCTCAATGCGAGAGGCAAAGTCACTTCCAAGGCCCCCTACAGTTGTAATTGAGAAGTTTTCTCGGGATTCTCCCAGTGCCTTGCAACATCGTACAAGATTCTCAAAAACACCCTCCGCTGCTGAGTTTCCCGCCTGATCATGTCCCTTCCCCACTGGCCCATCTGTTCCATGTGAAAGAGAATGCTATCCCAGGTCCTCGGACAGAAAACGATTCAAGTGGCAGCTTCCGAGCGCATCATACAATTGCAAAAGCACTCGGAAAGGCACAGCCAGGGATTGCTGTCATGTGAGACGGGGTCACTAAATGAGGGAACTATCCAGGCGATTGGAGCCGGTGAGAATTTCAACACCCAGAGGGAAGAAAGCAGCAGAGCCACTGGGCACCTGGCGAGGCTTCGGTAGACGGCCCTGGGATTGCGACGTCGCCCGGATGCCCAGCAGCAGCGGATGCCGACCCACTGCCACATTGTGGACAGTTTGGATACAGCCCAACCTCGCAAGGTGTCATCAGGCTGCTTGGATTTGCTCTGTGTACACTACTCGAAAGCGAACTCTGCTGTGGTGGACTTGCCACAGATAAAATTCTCGGAGCCGTGCGGTCTTGCCTCAGTCAATCGCAATAACCCCTTGGAATATACCAATGCCCGAACTAGAGTCCATAGCATCCTGGAGGTTTTAAGTTTTGTGATTCAAGGCGGCATCTATTGCGTAAACCTCGACGAAGGCAACTAGGTGCATGGCACATCTCCATGCAAACGCCCTTTAGCCGGCTGCGAAGCAAAACGCCTTGGTGTGCGGCACATGGACATCTGCTAATCATGTCAGGGCATCTGGTCATGGGAGCCGGACGATGCCACTGGTCCTGCTGCATGCACGCCTCTAAGATCAAGTCCGAACTCTGCCGGGCCTCAGCGAATATAGGCTTCAGGAGCACTATAGTGATGTGCCAACGCTTGCCCTTTGCCTCTCCCTCTTCAGAGGCCGCCAAGGAGGCTAGGCCTGCCGGCTTTGCGCTTTAAGCGGGCGAGTTGACCGTTCTCGTGATCACCAGGTGGTCACCAGGGCCCAACATGCTAGGCCCTAGGCTGACTAAGTGGAACTGCAACTTTGGAGGATCCCGCCGGCCCTACAACCTCGCATGAGGCCCACACCAGCTTCGGCCCTGCGGCTGAGCAATGCCCGCCTGAAAATCCGCACCCGAGGCAGCAGAAGAGAAAGCGCACGCGTCGGGCAAAAGGCTCTGAAGACAAGCAACGCCCATGGCAGCAGAGGAAGCAGCTTCCAGGCTCCATACAGCCGCATCTGCCACAGGGGTGGCCATTATCGTCGCAGCAGCACCAAATGAAACGTGTACTGTGAGAGTGGACGATTCCAGCGGAGACCGGCCTGTGCACAGGCAGGTAACCCCCCCGGGCACCCTGCCTGGCTGCTACGTTGAAACAGCTGCGAGCAGAGAAGAGCTTTGGGCCTCTTTCACACTCAGCCGCTCTCACAGGTGTCTCGGTGTCTTGTTCGACCGCTCCATTTTCCTGGACGACGCCGGGGTCTTGAAAACATGCTCGCAGGGAATACTCCCATGCAGCAAAGGAGTGTTAGCCCGTCCGACCACTGCTTGAATCCACATGAGATCCGGTTGCATCGAACAGCTTGCCTACTTCGCAAAGTCGCGCTGACTCTGCAATCTATCCATACATACAAGGCCAGGGCAGAATTTTGCCAGCCCTTTATCTACACAGACTTTGGCTGTGGGGCAAGACTTCGTCTTGAAGTCCATGCACTCTGTAGCACTGACCGCTGGCTTGGCATTGCAAGTCTGCGGCAGAAGCCGGGGATGCTGATGGACATTCTCTCCCTACTCTCGTCTACCCGGTTTCTCTGTGTTCTTCTGTGTCTGTAGTCTGCTTCCCTGCTTCACATCAGCACACCAAGCTACATCTTCCATCGATTGTGACTGGACTCCTAGGTGCATCGGAGCATCTCCCCAATACCTGCACACGCAACGGCACTGTCAGATGCACTTCGACCCGGAGGTGTAGCGATGCAAGAGATTGCACCATCCAAGATTGTACAGGATGACCCCAAGGCTCAATGCCAGCTCCACTCTGCCCTTGTCATGACCGTGGAATTTTTTGGCATGATGCAAGTGCATCAGATGTCGCGGCTCGGCAAGTTTCGCCACACTGAAGTTCAGCACAAGCTGCTTCGTCCGTTCGGCAACGCAAGGCTTGAAGCTCTCTTTGCCTGGCAAAACACCAATAGGAGGCTTGCACGAGTTCTATGCGCCAATCAAGCTGGCAACACAAGCACGCTCCAGCTTGTTGGATTGTGCTCCTGCCTAAGTAGGGAGAGGGAACTGGACTGCGCACGATGGCCACTTGCGAAGACTTGCAAACCAAGGGGCAGGATCTTTGGGATCACCTTCGCCTGATGCCTCGAATATCCGAGCACCGAGGCACAGGGGGGCATGTCGTGCTGTCAGAAACTGCCACCTGTGTGAACTGTAACCAAGAAGCTCTTCGATCCTTCGCTGCGCTGTGCTGCTGGGACCGATTGCCTGCGAAAGCGATGCAGCTGTGCAGCCGCTAGCAGCCGCAAGCTACACAGGGCTGTTAGTGCCGGACCGTGTCTATGAGAGTCTTGAGCACAAGGATTGCGTTCTCAACCTGCAGCAGATTACTGATCTGCTGCCTGTCTGCACTGCTCTCAGAACCTGAGGATGCAGCAGATATGAAAATTAGCAGCTTGCGCTCGAAACCTCAGGAAAAGCGACTCCAAGTTCACATCGTGGGCTCTTTGCCGCAGGTGGGAGGTCGAGGCTTCTCCGTCGGAATTCAAGCAACACACAGACATCCCTAGAGCTTCGCAAGAGTACCGCTTGAAGAAGAGCTCGGGGGCAAGCTCATGTCACCGCATAGCGGCGACACAAAGATCACCTGAATGGAAAGGTCTTCGTGACTGCCACTCGTTGTGCTATTCTGCGTTTCAAGCCAAGCCACCAAGAAGGTGTTGAAGATCACACCGATCCACGACAGAAGGGTTATGATGTCCTGAATTGCAGAACAGATAAGTGGAGCGTGCCAGTCTCCTCACAGGCCCACGGCCCCCCAAGCTACATGCTAGGCAGCTGTTACAGTAGGCAGTACAGAAACTCTGTCCTCAGCGCCAAATCCTTCAGCTCCGAAAGGGCTCGGCCTTTGGTAGATGTACGAGACCTTGTACCTGCAACTGAACGCAACAATGCCACAGCAAGCCTGCACCTTTGGAAGTGTCAAGCTGTGGCTCGGGGCAATTAGAACTTAGGTGGTCGGCGGCCACACAACACCCGAAAGCCTTGCAGCAACGCCGCAACTGTTAACGTCACTTGACCGGAAGATGCCTTCTGACCAACACTCCTCAACTCCAGAGCCTAACATCCTGTTTCAGTCAGATGGTATCTTCTGTGAGGTTCGGGGCATGGCATTCTGCTGCTCAAGCCGTGCATGCCCATGATGCGTGCTATGCGTCAATGCATGCATGTTATGCCTCAATGCATGCGGGATTGGAGGGCATGCTCTTGCATTCTGCGAGGGGCCGTGCATAGAACGCACTTGAATTTCCTGTCATTTGCAGGAACTGCACAAATTTTGGGAATCAGAACTGCTAGACGAACGAAGCCTTAAGGTTTTGCACAATACCTCCCACACACTGCAGGCGCACGCAAGGATGCGCTTGAACCTCGATGCAAGCACATAGTCGAAAGCTGTCATGCATGGAAAATGGACCCCCCGGTCTTCGTTTCAGGCCCGTGCAGAAAGTTCACACAGAAGCAGATGCAGCACCTGACCGTCAGTGTGGACAGAACAGCTAGCGCTCTCCACGTCGAGAAGAAGCTAAGTCAAGTGCACGTATGGCAAGCAGACTCCAAACCTCAACGGCCGTTCACTAGCACAAACTCCGCATGCTGGGCATTTCTCACCACTGCACTAAGCCAAGCAACATCACTAAGAACCCGTAGTTGATCACCTGAAGCTGCACATCCGACATCAAGTCCTCGGCATTTGTGCACGCATCTGACAAGAAGACTCCAGACCTGGTCTCTCTCCAACTCTCAGTCCAAGCGTCTTCATCTGAATATTCAGGACATTTGGCCTGGTATTCCTCAGCTGCCCAGGAGTACATGCAAGGTTGCAGGGGCCAGCAGCTAGTTCACTCAAGGAGCTAAGTACGAATACTCCTTGTTGGCGAAGCGCCTTCGTTCGGAAGCAACCTGCGTCGAATGCTCACGCAGTGCCCACGATGGGTGCATGGTCAAGCAATCAACAAGCCGCTGATTCGTTTCAGTGGGAACAAGACTGTGCCCACCTTGAGCCAGGAAGTAAGCAAAGACACAAAGAGAAATATGACCTGCCGTTTGTGGTGCGGTAGCATATGACAGAAGACAACAATGGAGCGGTCGCACCCAATGATTGATCCTGGTCTAACGGCCTCCATAGCAATCTGCGTGAAGAAAAACAGTCGTAGATCGCTGCTCAATGCCTCTTGCGCGTTGACAATGGCACCCGGCTGCAGTGTCCGACTTCATATCGAAGGGTACAAGGATCGACTTGCCTTGAAGCATGGCTGGATGTCGATGTCATAAATTGCAGGTTTGATGAAGATCCTGGACGCAATCCGGCTGACGTCAGGCACAGCATCATCATTTCCAACCCGTGCCGGACAACAGAAGCTGATTGTGGCGAAGCTTCGTGTAGAGGAAGGGGTAGTAGTAAACAACGAACCTGAGATTCAGTGGAGAAGCGGACATTCTGCCGGAAACGTCAAGAATACCTGAAGGGGATGCTGGTGGCTTTCCGAGACGCTTGACAGCAAACAGCTTCTCCGAGGCCTTGTTGCGCAGCTCTCCTGGCGTCCTTCAAGCACCCCCGCGTTACAGAGAGCGAAGCCCGCGAAGCCGTCCTCCAATTTTCGTTCTTGGACAGGTATGTGGACAGGGATGTCCAGAGATAGTCGACAATCTTGATGTTGGCAGTGATCATGTACCTTCTTATGGTACGCCGCAGCTCGAGACGAGCGCAATACCCTGCTCGCTCAGTCTGCATTCAAGACACTTTCCGTATGCCTGTAGGTGTTGGTGCCTCGCGGCCACAGCGACTGTCTCGACACTTGCTTCAAAACCCATCACTGCCCAGATACCGGATTCCGTAGGATCGCCCCATCGGATCTACCCGAGCTTTTATCCGCAGCTGGCTGACCTTGAAGACGGTAACGACTAGTGACAATGCGGAGAGGCGACCACGCCCAGGAACCATTACGAAAATTCGCGACGGTACTGTGCAAACGAGTTGCAAATAGCGTGAAGAAAACTGTTTCGGCCATGAAGGCGGCACAGAGAATCCTGGCAGACAGTGCTTCTGGGCTGTCTGCCTGATGCTTCCCCGGCAGTGTATGTATGCTCTTGGGCAAGAAGCTTCTGTCTTGTTTGCAGGTTCGTTTGTGCACGAACCCGGGTCACAATGTAGATGGACATGGTGCGACATGCATTCCGGTACAAACATAAGTAACATAACAGCTTTGTCGAAATAACGAGTTTACAGCGGCGACTGCTTTCCAGCGACGGCATCAGTCTGCCAGCTGAACTCCTTCAAATACTTGTCAATGACAAACCCTCATTGACTCCATGATGCTCTCCATGTAGTTTGGGTACGAAGACACGTGTTTCCATCGGTGCTGTAACAAATACTAACCTTGATCCTACAGCACATCAGCAAGTCGCAGCATTTCGGTCGACACGGCGACAGCACCTGCGAGCAATCTAGAAAAGCACGAAGACTGCAAGTACATTGCTATGCCATGTATATAGAAGCAGCAATGGTCTTGGTGATGACCAGAGAAGTCGTAGTCATGTAAAACTGACCGCTGCAGCAAGATCACGGCAGCTGCTGCTTTAAAGCTGAGAAGTAATTGCGAATAGCAAGAATAGCAACTTTTGCATGAAATGTGATTGGACAAGAAGTCTCGTTGATTGCATACTACATAAGAGGTGCTGAGTGGAATGATCACCAATGCCTACATGATCGTCACTGAAGTGACAGTACAAGGAATAGAAAGAGCCTCCACATTGAGAAAGAAACCGACCGACGCAGTACTGTGCAGTTGACTGCCGATCTGACGGGTGGCTCTCCTGATGTACCAAACCAGCACACTCATGCATCCATACTTCTTCTGTGTCGGCTCTGGTGCAGGATCAGGGGTGTTGCTTGGGCGATGTGATCTGCAGTCCACTCCCTCCCGCGAGTGGATTGAGATAGCAAAATGTTCGATGCAGTGAACGGAATCCAGTTTCGAGCCGAAGAAATCGAACCATGAAGCGTTTCCTCCGTCCTTTTCTTGTGACAAGGGTTAACTTTTACATTCACAGCGACATGGTACTTAGGAAACCGAGCTTCCCCTGGTCTGAGTTGGTGCCGCTTTCACCGGTGCGGGAGCATGTAATGGCAGACTTCCTGCATTCCGGCAGACCCTCGGGCTCGGATACGGAATGAGTGTTGGGGCTCGGCATATGTTTGGTTTCGTTACGCGTTGCCTCACTCTCTGCGATATGGGCTCTCGTCATCGACATTGGAACTGTGTTAAAATTTGAAACATGTCGCACGCGTCTTGCAAATCACACTGCGTGCCCCGAAGCGGTCCAGTGCAAGAGTTGTTGAAAATACTCTCCCCAGCTGTCTCTGTAGTCGTCGCGAAACTGCCTGGCCAGTGATGAAGACATGACGAAAAGGACTGAGTCAATCACTGCAGCATCATGCATGTGATCGCGACTTGAATCTGCATGCCCACACCCTGAACCTGCGGATTTCGGCAAATTCTCGATCGTGGTGCTTCATGCCCCACTTGAGGACCTGCAGCAGAAACTGTGCCAACATCTGTGCTGTCTCTTGTCTTAACTCTAAGCATCGCAGTCAGTGTCGCTGTTTCCCGGCATGTCCCGGTTCCAGAAACTTGCTCTTCAAGTCGGGGCGAGATTTTCGAAAAGGGGCGTGCCATTCCAGGAACATTCTCCAAATCAGTCGCCAAGCAGAGCGATTTCTCGGATTTCGAGCTCGTCCCCAAAAGCATCGGCCCGGCCCGCCCGGCCCCGGCCTTCAGGTTCTTCATATGCTTGTACCTGTCGCCAGGCACCCGAAGCTCCCCGGCACCCCTCGAGGATCCCCAAGGATCCGAGCCCACCTTGCCAGGAAGGTGGTGGACCAGACTCCCAGAAAGATGGAGAATGCCACATACCTCGCATCCGCTTTCAGAAGGGCGACAGAAAGGAAGCGTCGGAAAGCATCTCAATCTTTAGATTCTGCAGATCCCGACTCCTCCGGATGAGTCATTACCAGTCCAAGCTGCTCTCCCCAGCGAACCGTCTCCTCAGCTCTCAGTTCACGAAAGCATCCGAGCAAGCAGCAACAACTATTTCGAGCTTTTTTGCGTGATGTCGGGAGAGAATCCTGCAAATCCGAGACTTTGCCAGGAAAGTTCATGCTCTGGAGATTTGTCTGAACAAAGCCGAGAGACTGGGATCGACCTTGAGACTAGCTTTTGCTATGACGGCCGCACGCGGCATGCTTCAGTTATTCCGACCCCAAACACAGAAGCCACTATGTTAGGGTAGGAACAAGAAGGAAAGGGAAGGGAAACCCCAAAAGGAACCCCGGCCCTGAACGAAGAAGCACGACTCAGTGCGCCTCTTTTAATCTTGAGCCAAAAGAAGTTGGCATTAACCATGTCACAGAAGTTGCACAGTCAGGTAACATTACTTTACATGGAGGTTGTACGCAATTCTTCAACTCCCCCCTCCTGACTTGGAAAATCTGTACATCAATGCAAATGGATCCATTTAATTAACGAACTGGGGAAAACAACCTGCCGTTGATTTCTTGACCGATGTGTCACGACACGGTCAGTGACGGTTGATTCCATGACCACCCTGATGTGGCGCAAGGAGCAGCCAAACAACCAGGAGGTCTTGACAAGTGAAGCTTAGCTTCGAGGGCATAAAGTGCTCAGCATCATAACCCGATTTAACATCCAATCCAACCCAAGCTTAGCTATATGAGGGTAGAATGGAAGTTGACATTGTCAACAGCTCGAGCGCATGAGACCATTTCTGGACTGCCAACGCTTTGGTGAGAGGGTCACCTCTCTGCTCACTCGTGTGGATATACTCCAGAATGACATTGGAGCTGTCATTGACATATTCACAAGTCGATGACACGTTCACACGGTGAGTTTTGCCTAAATGGCGGAGTTTGGAACTGAATCCTTTTCTGACGATTGCAATGCAAGCCTGATTATCCTCGTAGATATGCAAGCAGATCCCGGGGATGAGGGCCTCCCAGACTTCATGTAAGGGAATTGCATCGTTGTACAGAACTCCACTTAGTGAAACGAACTCTGCTTCAGTACTTGACCGAGATACGACCTTTTGACGTTTACTCGACCATGACAACAAAGCGAAGCTTCCTGGGCCTTCGATAGCCAACACGTATCCGCTGGTAGATCGGGACGTGTCAATGCAGCCGGCGAAGTCGGAATCACAGTAGAGGGACAACCGTAAATCCGAAGGAGAATCGCTGATGCACAAAATCAATGCGTAATCGACTGAATGAAGAATATAACCGATCAATCGATGAACTCGACGGTCATCGTTCTTGGACCAGCTGCAGACATGCGAAGCAAGCGTTGTGACTGCCACAATCAAGTCGGGCCGACTTAACCTTGCAAGCCATAACACCTTCATTAAGATTTTCGCGGCAACTTCGGTAAGTTGCCCGCGGCAATCGTCGTCTGCTGCAGGTAGTGTGCTAATGTCGAGATGGGGAGTAAGCTGAGGTTTAACCTTAAGCGAACATACAGTCTCGTACAATTGAACACACTGTTTTGCGAAATCCGTTGATTCAAGTGCTAGTGCTTTCTTTTCTTGCCAGCACACGAATCTGTGGCATCTTCCAAGTACCCTTGAAAGGGCTGCGTACGGCTCGAGCTCAACCTCCTTGGAGAGGGAGCGCCAGAAGTCGTCATGCAGGGACCGACGTCCAGACAAAGTCAAGTCGTCTACGTAGATGCACAAGACTAATCCTAGGGACTTGAATGACTTGAAGTAATAAACCGAAGGAAGGTTTGGAAACTCAACCCCGCCTAGCTTAACCAGAATCTCATGGAGATGTTGCTGCCAATAGGCGGAACTTTCGGGGTGCCCATACAACGCTTTGTGCAGGGGCGCGCATGGTTGGAAGACGTGCTTCTTGTCGGGTGGGACTAGCTCTGGAGGTAGGAGGACGTACGTGCGGTGCTTCGTCTTGAGCTTGGCTTGTGTGTAAGCTCGTACTGCGTCGCTGGTAGTCACACCAGCAACCGCTGTGTTCAATCCTTCAAGTGAAGATGGGGATGATGCAAACAGCTCTTCAAATACAGCAGACATGCCGGATTGGTCCCTGATATCATCACCCCTGAAGACTATTCTTGCCTTGAGACGCCACTGATCAGGACTCAGCTCAGATCCTTTTACGGATAAAATGACCATCAAATTTCCGAAGTGGATCACATTAGAAGTCCTAGTAGCCCACGCAAGAACATCCTTTTTGGACACTATCTCATTTTCAAGCCACGTCCCAACATCAACAAGGCCATCTTTCTCTTTCTTTATTGCCTCGTAGGCTCCTGGTTGCCCCGACCATTCTTTTCTATCGAGAAGGCGGTGAACTAAACCCGGAAGCTTAACCTCTTTCATCCCTGACTCATGCATAAGAACATCAAGAGGAACCTTGGGTTTAGAATCCTTTTCACGATGGAACTGTGGCAAGGAAGGAACGCATGGGAGCGCTGGCGTCTGGAACGCCTCGGCAAAAGGGAATAGAGACATGAGCAGCACTTTGTGAAATGCCTCAGGATAGAAGGCTACCCGTGGCCAAAGCGTACTCGATGAGCAATGCTTAACATGTGAGGCGTGAGTGCATTTGAAAGGTTTGAAGTTTTCGACTAGCCGTTTGCTCGAAGACATGATTTGCCATGGAGCGTCAAAAGGAGCTCCTGATGTCGAAACCATACCTAGAGAACAGCCCTTGAACGAAACTCTACGAAGGCTGAATTGATCCTCGAAGGCTTGAACTTCGGGAAGCAACCAACACGTGGAGTCTTGTGGCCATTCGAGAGAAACTTCGCCACCATTGGAAACGATGACTGGCGCAACCTGAAGAAAACCCAGCAAAGTCCTCTGAGCCTTCCAGTGAACGCACCCAGAGTATCTAGCTCCCCATCCGTCACCTAACAGAGAACCAACTAGACAGCATCCCGGCACAGCAGAAACTTGGCTGATGAGCTGATCGATGACAACCGGATCAGACAGATCAACACGGTCACATGATATCGAGACAACTTGAACGCCTGATCCTTTGGCAATGTCGGCAAGATTGGAAGGCGAATGGGACGCGATCTCAAACAACACAAGAGCTCCGGGCTTTTGGTGTCGAAACATCGCAGGTAATGCAAGAGGATCTTCAAGGCCAGTTTCAGACGGTTCATAATCGGAGAGATGATCTCCATCGGGACGGGCAGGAGGCCTAGGCAGCTGGAGCTCTTCGTACGACAAGAAATCTTTGGGAACTGGAGTCTCGGGAGCTTTAGCTTCTCGACCGAATGCCTTCTCAAACCTTGCAATACACTCAGCATTGTGATTGCTTTTGTCGTTGTCGCAAGCATAGCACCCAGGTGTGGGACCTATCTTACGAAATCTAGCATACGTAATGTAAATCCTACGAAGCTTCTTCCTCTCGCCCTGTTCTGTGAACACATGCGGCGTGAAAGGAATCGGAAGAGGTTCTTGTGCAGGCACATCGCCTTCATCAGCAAACGTCAGCAATGCATGCTCTGCAGCGTTGCGAAGGGGAAACACAGGATCACCGGACCGAACATAAAGCTCAGCCTCCGGAACGCTGATCGGCTCAGTCCAAGCACCAATCTTGGAACGAAGCTTTTCTAAGTCAAGCACAAGGGTCACAGAACGATAGATGCCACCTGGTTCCAATCGCCATCCTGCGAACACGCCTGGAGCAGCGTTCGGACCGAACTTGCTTTCATGCTTATGTCGGTAAAACACAAGCTGGCCAAGAATCAGCTTTCTGATGCAAACTTCATCCCTGCCTGAATCCTCAATGTTGAAATCCCACCTACAGAGCGACTCATCTTGCGGTGAAGGCAACGTCAGATTCAAGGCGATGGCACCGTAACGACAAGCAGCGGGCCACAACTCAGGACGGATCGAAAACCCAGCTTCAAGGAACCATGATCTCACGCCTTCTTGGAAGGTCCTAATCTCCCGCTCAAGTTGAGCGTTGTGGGGAAAGCGATTAGGCAAGGATGGCGAAGAGATCCATCCCATTTCTTCCGCTGCGGCTTCGAATTCATCAGCTGCATCAGACACTAAGGTCACAGGCTTTGAGCAAATTCTACGTCCAACAAACTTTCTCAGGGCAGTCACAACGGCGCTGGTTGAACGATCATTCCCAGGGTACGCCGCAAACAGACCAGTGTACTTGTCCCTCAGGCACAACACAACGTAGGACTTGTCCGGAGCATCGGAGTCGTCTGGCGATCTAAACACGTGAATGTGATCAGCGGCAATGACTTCTCCAAACTCTGAAGCTTCGAACGGATCTGGTTCTTCCTCGGTGTCACGAGGCTTTCCGCGCACACGCCTTGAAAGCATGCGAGCTTGATTACATATATCACAGAAAGGATTCTTCGGGAAGTGAAACAACCTGTGCTCAAGCGACATTGCCTGATCTCTAAGCTTCCGAATCCTCTCGGGAACCTTATCCTCTGCTCCATCATCCTGTTCAACTTCACCTACGCCTTCCGCAGATGCATCAGCGCCAGGCCCTTCGGGTGGCGCATCAGCAGCCGAACCCTCGGGAGCCTCAGCAGCATATGCTGGCAGGGGCTCTTCGCAAGAGTCGATTGGGAAGCCCAGAGCACGGAGCTCTTCACAGTGCGAACCTTTGACCTCTGAAGGATGCTTTGCAGAGAACAAGACAACCACAACGTGATCGCCTTTCCACGGCATCGTGGCATGGATGCAGCTCTTAGCTCGGAATCGAATGACCCCGTTCTTG